CGGGCATCTGCAGCTGCAGACCTCAATCTATGATACATATCAGGCACTTCAGCTTTTCTCATAATGTCATGACTTTTCTCTGCTTCTTGAGAGCACTTCTAGCATCACTAGTGGAACACTTCATATGGGTGTCATGGTGTTATTCAAGGTTTATGGTATTGAACACAATGAAAAATAAGCGAGAGCCTGGAGAGATCACTTTTTACTGTGATACGCAATTTACTGGAGGGACTACTGCTCACATGGAGATGATTAGCATCACACGGCATTTTGAGCGTATACTTGTAACACTTGAGCTCACCACAGTAGCAACAGGAGATGACTATGAAATTATTACAGTTGTACAGTATGCACTACAGTAAATTTTATGCAGTTATGATTTAATACTGCATCTTTGCGATTGTACATTTCTTTCTGTTGTGAATGGCACTGTGTATGGTCTGTGATAAGTTTTGAAAAATTTTTACTTTTTATAATTTGTATATTTTATGGTAATAAATAAAATAGACTGGTGTCGACATATATTTTACACATTCATGATATACCTATCTTTTTCATAATTTTGTTACTGTTTCTAGCCTACATGGTTCATCTGTGAGTTTTTTCAAATTGTTGCAAGTCTCCAAAAATTTTTCCAGTGTATTTATTGAAAAAAAAATTATGTATAAGTGGACTTGCCCAGTTTAAACCATGTTATTCAAGGGTCAGCTGTATATTAAGTTGCAAACTGTTAAGAATTAATAACATCTTGCCATAGACTATTTCCAAAGCTTTGATTCTGCCTGATGTAGAACATATCTTATCTTGGCTAATTGGCCAGGATGTACCCTGATACAAAAATCTCCCTCATGATTCACAACTACCTCAAAATTACATTGTTTTTCCCCTAAAATTTACCTATAGACCTACTGTTCCTACAGCCTGTCCAAACAGCAAGCTCTCATTCAGTGAAAGCTTTCTGCACATACCTGTTGAAGTGTGTCCAAAGCATTCTTTCTAAGCACTCGGTAATGTTCGCACACACAGCTTAGCTAGTGAGCCTGTAAGAGAAGCTAAGTGAGCACATAACAGTGATCACAGAGGAAAGGAGGTGACACAAGTATGAGGGGAAGTAACCGTGAAGAAGTAGCATAGGTAATAAAGAAATGTATAAATTTGTTTCTCAACTGTTTTTCTCCCACCTATCACCTCACATTTATCACTTCATATTTACCAGGAAAAGAGAGAAATAAAAGTAGGAGACAGTTGAGAAATGGTAAAATTGATTGATATAAGGAAACTAAATACACACACACACACACACACACACACACACACACACAGTGATAAATCGTAAAGTATAGACAGCTGAGGAGCATTCTGTTACCGTAGTTCATAAACAATGCTTTAATATATCAAGTATTATATACAGTAGATTTATGAGTAAAGACTGTTTCTACTTAGGTCCTTCAGATTCTATCTCTGTCTTTAATACAGAATTTGAGTCATTGTTTTGAGAAATACTTTCTTACAAGGATCATCTGTTACTGAAAATGTGGTCAGGATATTTGATCTGTTTTGTGTTTAAGAATACTGTGAAGGTAAGATCCCGTAGATTATTGATGCAGATATTGGAACACAGTAAATAATACCAAACTGAGTGAATGCCAGTTTCTATTCAGTGGGTCAATAAAGGATAGCTTTTAGACTCTGTAGGTTAACCACACAAATTGTAATTAGGAAATAGTCACATGTATTAGAAAATGTTAAAAATTATTTTTCTTTCACTGAAGAGGCATAGTGTATGTCCCCGTTATAAGGATAAAGTTGATGAAAATGGGGACAGTTTATATCTTATTTCTTCTTTTATAGGTTTTAAAACGGCCAGAATATTTTGGGAAGTTTGGTAAAATACATAAAGTTGTCATCAATAATAGCACATCATATGCGGGATCACAGGTAACTCATTACATCCCTATAAGTAGTTATAGGGATTTTTGCCTTTCCTCCGTATAGTCTAGATTTGACCTGGGCTGAAAATTTCTTTTCTGAGATTAGAAAGCTTGAGGGTCAAGGACTTAAGCAGTGTAGTGGCCTCTGTTGGTGGGGTGAGGGAATTTTTAGTGCTGATTTGACTCTTCCACGACTTAACAGCAAATTGATAGTAAGAGAAGTAGTAAAACAAAGATTTAGTGATGGTTCAAAGGGGAGGGGGAGTTGACTATTGTTTGACAGTCTAATAACTAGATAATGATTTCTAATATTTTCAGATATTGAAAACTTCATAAAAAAGAAACTTAATAAAACGTCTTTGTTATGCTGGTGTTAACGGATAGACTGTTCTTGAAAATTGCATTTATTTTTATGAGAACATAATTTGACAGTGTCTTCAAATATTAGTTTTTAAAATCTAACTTTCAGTGTTTGTTTTTTATCACCTTGATGAGCCTGTCAAGTGACTTTTTAAAAAAATAAATGACAAGCCAAAGATATTTTAGTCTACTTAAAATCAGATAAACTTCATTGAGTATGATTGTTTTTAAATGAACTAGTATATGGCTTAATTAAAGCTACTACAACTTTTAATCATTGTGATTATTGTTAATGACAGTAGTAATAAATGCCTTTAGAATTTCCGATGCAGGTTGCAAAAGAATTTTCTTTTTTTAAAAGTTTTTGTTGAATTTGAAACTAATAAAAGTGGGTTTTCACTTTAGGGTCCAAGTGCCAGTGCTTATGTAACCTATATCCGGTCAGAAGATGCTCTCAGAGCCATACAGTGTGTCAACAATGTGGTGGTAGATGGCAGAACACTTAAGGTAACATGGTCCTCTTGATTTATTTGTTTGAAGGGGGAAGGGATAAAATGTAGCAAGTAAAGGAGTACCTAGCATTTACATATTACATTTGAAGGGAGTCTGTTTGAAAATTGCCTCCTAGGCATCCATACCAACCTGTGACAGCTAATTTGTTTACTGTTGTCTTATATAGGGTCCTGTTTTGCCAGGTAGGGATAAACATGTTCGTTATTAAGGGTCAATCTTAAAATCTCCTATGTTTACACATATTTTATTCAATGAGAATGAATTTATTATTCTTATCAAAAATAGATAATGGTTCTGATTTGTTGTCCTTAAATATTTGGACATTGATCAGTTCAGGTTTGAGTGAAGGGTCCCACCAAGCACTGCTTTATGTAAATGAGAGAAGAATGGCAAACTGGAAAAGGGAATTTGCCTTCTTATGTGCCTGTCCACTTAGGACATGGAACAGATTTTGTCTGTCTTTTCTTCCATTTGGATGCTCAAGTTCTGAAAACTATATAGACTGAGATGTTTTCTTTAGTTCTTTCAAATGGGCATCATCATTAATAAATCCTGCTAGTGATAGTTTAGTTCTCTAGTATTCACAGACATACTTTTTTTTTTTAACACTTAATCATGCTGTTTATTATTATAGAGGGACATAAAAACATGGTTTGCTTTATCTAAACAGATGTGTTTTTATTAGTTTCAAAACAGTGTAATAGTTACATT